CATCATCGTTTGTCTTCCATAGACATGACGTAGAGGCTCTACCAAGCATAATCAGGTGCTCACCCGCGTGGGTCAAGATTTAGCGGATTCTGAGGGTTTCCAATATTGAGCTACCCGAATCAATGATCATTTTCAAGCATAATTAACTATATTTCAAAAGCAAATTAGCGAACTTTTTGTACTCAGTACAAAGCGCTATGCCCTATTCACTCATATCGTCAATCCTGCTTCAAATGACCTTCAAACTATAGAATCGGAAGTAGGCCAAAATCTCGTCCCATTTTTCGCTTTAATGACTGTGCTTTCAGCAACTTTTACATACAAGAAAAGACGAATCAAGCTCCATTTATTCGCGAAAAATACACGATTTAGGATATAGACCGTTTGCAATTTTTTTCGGGAAAATTCTCTCTAAGATTTAAGCTATTGATGAGTGACACAAACCCAGAAATCTGTGGGTGCCACACCCAATTAACTTACCTTCAAAGTGCTCACATATCTGTCTTATGATATGGGCCAATACAGTGTTTCTCTACATATGTAGCAAATTGTTTCTGCTAGGGAGAGATATATTCGTTTTTCCCTATATATGCAAATGGAAAACACTGCGAAAATACTGGACGGTATGGTAAGTCTGCGTTACTACGTGAATCGCGATCTAAGGCGGCAAGAATACAGAAACATATTCGATAACGTAAACTTCAGTATGAACGCCATACTTACAAAAGTGAATTGAGCGTGATTAGTCTTCCCTCTGAAGTATTGAAAACAAAAAATGGGACAAACGAGATTTTGGATTTCTCTTCATTAAATAGTTCGGAGATTACTTGAAGAGGATATCTACAGTGAGCAAAGAAGCAGTAGTGCTTTGTATCAAGGAAACAAAGTTAGTTTGTTCGAAAATGACCATCTTACTTGGGTGGGGGCAATAACTGGGAACCTCAAAATTCGCTGATTGGCCCAAAGGAATGTATATGCACTTCGATCAACAAAGATTGAAAATTCTAACTGTTGTGCTTTTAGTTATGCTCAACACCATAGCACATGACCGCATCTTTTCAGAACTCAGATTCTGGAGAATCAAGTAGGTAAAAGGCAGAAATTTCTGGACCAACATGGTGTGGCATGGCAGCGTAGAATCCAATTACCTTTACCATATCCAAGCGACTCGCAGTTCTTAGGATCAGAAATCACGGAATTCGTATCGGGCATACAAATAGGCGCAGTGCCCACGTCCTCGTTCAATTCTACCACAGCGATGTCATTTTGTGCAAGAGATAATGCATAATCCAAAGTTTTAGCATTCTTGCAAGGTATATCATTCGGATGCAGGGTTACCTGAATTGCACTCTGAACTTTTTACCCTCCGAGAGATGTTAAGTCAATTACACTCACTGATGCAATTGCATGTTGTGTTTTCCATGCCCAACATTCTTCGTAATGACATATGCTTTGGAGTTCAACAATGACACTGTGCACGGTCTCAAATGGGCCTAACCTGTAAATTCTCTTTTTTTGTCTATCCAAACACCTACAAATTAAGAGTACCCAGGAATGCACAAAATGCTTGGAGAATTATCGTATAAGCAATGTGCAGCAGTCAGAACATGTCGTGGTGAAATCAGCACGCCGCTACAATGACTGTGCCCTGACTCTCCGTCTGCTGCAGACATACCTACTGAATATTTCCAAGCTTGAGCAAGTCTAACTCACAGAATACAACATTAGATACTAACCGTCAGATATGATCAATTGCGCCGCAAAGGGATATTCGACAGGATTGACTGGTTGTCGCCGCTTAACGCGTGGCACTGATGAATATGCGTAGTATAAGGATTAGGAATCTATTTTTTC